TTTGTTAAACCACATGATATATACCATCTATGTCAAACCACGTGCTATATAACATCTTTTTCCTAACTAATTGCTATACCGAATTGTAATATCTATCTATCACACTATCTATTTAACGTATTATCTACCTGTCAACCCATCTATTTGTCATAATATCTATCTATCAAAATATATATTTCACGTATTATCTATCTGTCANACCATTTATAATATCTATCTGTCAAACCATCTATCTGTCATAATATCTATCTGTCAAACCATCTATTTGTCTAAATTATATATCTCTCAAACCTGCTATTTATCATAATATCTATCTGTCAAACCATCTATTTATCATAATATCTGTCTGTCAAATCATCTATATATCATAATATATATCTATCAAACCATCAATTTAACGTATTATCTACCTGTCAACCCATCTATTTGTCATAATAACTATCTATCAAACCAACAATTTAACGTATTATCTATCTGTCAACCCATCTATTTGTCATAATAACTATATATCAAACCAACAATTTAATGTATTATCTATCCGTCAAACAAGCTATTTATCATAATATCTATCAAACCATCTATTTATCATAATATCTATCTGTCAAACCATCTATTTGTCTAAATTATATATCAATCAAACCTGTTGTTGTTTATCATGTTATCTATCTGTCAAACAATCTAATTAACATAATACCTATCAGCCAAACCTGCTAACCATCATTTTATCTATTTGTCAAATCATCTATTTATCATAGTACCTATTTGTCTATCATAATATATATCTGGCAAACTATATATTTATCATATCAACTATCTGTCAAATCATAGTACGTATATGTCAAACTTGCTATTCATCATATTATCTATCTGCCAAACTATCCATATGTCTAAATTATTTATCTGCCAAATCTGCTATTTATAATGTTATCCATCTGTCAAACCATCTATTTATCATTTTATCTGCCACAATTTCTATTTATCAAATTACCTGTCAAACCAATTATTTATAGTATGATTTGTCAATCATATGATCAAGCCAGCTATTTAAAATCTTATTCATATTTCAAACCTGCCATTTACCATATTATCTATCCATCAATTAATCAATCATTTATCTTTCTGTCAAACGTAATCTATATGTCAACCCACCTATACACCATGTTATATATTATTATCTTTCAAACTAGCTATTTAAGATAACTGCCAAACCAACTATTTATTAAATTGTGTGTCAAACCATCTAATTATCATAATATCCATCTATCACACCAAATTTTTATCATTTTATATATCTGTCAGAAGATCTATTTAACATATCTGTCAAACATGGATATGCATTATAATATCCACCTGGATATATCCATGTGTCAAACCATTTATTTTTCACATTATCTTGGCTATCTGTCAAATCATCTATTCATCATTTTATATATCTGTCATAAGCTGTCAAACCATATATTATTCAAATGCTATATATCTGTCAAACCATCTATTTATCATTTTATATATCTTTCAACCCAACTATTTATCATATCTATCTGTCAAACAATCTATTTATCATATCATCTTAAATCAGCACTGTAGTCCTATGTCAACTTTCTACTATGCTATCAATAAAAGCCAAGTTCAAAAGGGCCATTCTGCTTTTTTTGTAGGTTGAAAAAATAATTTCGCTCGAATTTGTAAAAACATTTTGAAAATATTTTCCCAAATCCCATTGTGGCATGTTTCAGGGATACAATCATCATCAAAACATGTAAATGGGAATTATACTTCTAAAGCATAAATAAGAAATGGCAGAAATCAATGGCATCCTTTTGTTTCAACAAGGATAAAACAAAATATTTGATGAAAGAACATTTATTAAGAGAATATAGCTATATCATGTCATTGAATATAAGGACACTTGTCTTAATACAGTTATAGGATGAGTTCATATTTGTTTTGTTTTCAGCCTCCATTTTTTTTATTAGGTAGAAGTATTAGGTAATAATAAAGTAATATATGGAAATGCTTAAGTAGCTGTAAAATCTTAAAGAGCACATGGTCATATCATTTACTTAAAACTTAATTTATATAAAATCCAGATTTTAAGAAATAAATTGATCTGATTATATAAAAAACTAAATTTAAAATCGATTTTAGTGACTGACTTATCAGATGACTGGAAATCATCTTAAGTTTTCAAGAATAAGGTCCTTGAATTGAGAAATGTGCGAACCAGCCAAATCTGCTACAGTATAGCTTTAACAATAGTGTTTACCAGCAGTAATATATGTGAACAAAGACTAGTTATAATAGTTATACGTACTACTCTAGCTAACAATTAAACATAACAAAAGTTAGTTATTGCACATTTAGATTATAATATAATTTACTGTAAGCCTCTGGGTCAATTTGTAATTAGAAACTATGCATTAAGCAATAAATCTCTTATTTACAAATACCAGCAAGCATTTATATTGCAATGAATATGATTGCACAAACATGTTATTATCATTAATAGCTGAATAATACATCAAAATATAGTAATAATTATGGTAAACTAAGTAATAACTTGTGCATTTTATGCTACTAAACAATAATGAAATGATTGAAGTAAGGATATAATCTTAAATGGACATTTTCCTAAGAGAAAGGTGGGACCAAATACACTCAGACTTTACCTTTGGGAATCTACAGCCTCCCGTTCTCTTTCTCAGGATTTCTAAATTGGATAAAAACTTGTCCTCCATCATTATCCTATAGGTAATGTGCATAATTGAGTTGACTTTACACTACTACAGACATCATCTTATTAAAAATTAGTATCCATGTAATCAGATGGTCTAAATATCACTCCAGCCTTCAGCAGATTTAATTCATGTATTACTAAATAATAAAGTTGGCCACTTATTATTGTAATTATGTTTCCTGTGCTTTCATAATATGAAATAAATATAATATTTTATATAGGATATATATTCAATTTGTAACTCTGGGTATTATACTGCATTTTTATCTTTTAACAATATCCAGTAAGTTAATTAATATCATCAGCAGTGACCCACTACAATATACAGCAAAACAAACAGTAAACCATGAATGAATTTACATATCATTTACATCAACATTAATTTTGAGACAGATGGTTTAAAAAATCAAATTATTCTTGCATGTACTACATTTCTATAGTGTACTTCAAAACATTGATTGTATATTTGGTGGCAGAAAAGGTCAAAGAAAGTCAGAAAATTGGGAGATTCTAAGGGCAACAGTTTAAGTCACTGACTTGAAAAAAAGATTTTGGCATACACACAGCTGAGTGGAATTTGGCAGTAATTAAATACATGAGAAAAATAACTATGATATACTATATTTTAAAGGATTGTAGGAGGGTTTTTACCTAATTTTTAAATCTTACTCAATTTTTTTATAGTAAAACCTGTTGACAATTCTTTCAAGATCTCTTAGAAATCAACAAGCTAAAAATATCCGAACTTAAATACTAGATCAAAAGATTCAACTACAAAACAATGTAGGCCTTTTATTGATTAAAACTATCATTTCAATTAGTTGCTATTAAGTGTTTTATTAATATTTTATTGACAGTAGATTGCCAGTTGAAGGTTATACTAGAAAATAAAACAAAACTAATCAATTTTACTGTATGTGAAATATTAAATGTCTACACAATAAATTCAACTTAACACAGCTGACAAAAGATGAATTGTCTAGAGAAATAGCTGTGGTATCAGGAATATTACTGATCATAAAGAAGCTGTTTTATTACAGATATCTCATTAGATTATTTGAATTCTATTGAATCAAGCATTTTTGAGCAAATATTAAATCCTGACATTGGGTTTGGAATTGATTCTGTGTCATTTAATAACATAATTCACCTTCATGTTATACAATATTATATCTTTTAAAGACATGTGTCACAGAAAAAAAATCATTCAACATTTAACATTTTTGAAATTTTATTAATTAGAAAATATCTGACTGACTGTGAGGAATTTTGTGATGGTTGAAAACCTGAACAATGATTTTGAACTTCAATGCTACTTGGTCAAAGGGCAGAATTTATGATCGAAGTATAATTTGAAAAAACATTTCCAGATCATAATAAAGTGAAAAAAACAAAAGAAAAGTTACAAAATTCATATCTAAATCACATTTTTCTGAACACAAGAAATCTGATTAGTTAAAAATATATTTTAATAACATGATCACTCATACAGAACATTTTAAAACTTTGGGTACAAACTTAGAGGTCAAAGGTGACATCTGATGACTTTGGTTGGGTAAGAGATTACTGTAAGTCTAGGGATAAGATAACATGATAACAATATAAATAATAACAAATAACAAAAAAAAACAAACATCTCTTCAAAAATATTAATAAATTGAAATGTGTATATTTGTATCCCAATATTTTTGTAAAAATTGGCCTTTATTCTTAAATTTTCTTTTTAAATGTTTATTTAAGTAAATAGACCAGACTAGATTCTTTCAATTTTTTTTTTCAAAAGATTTGGATCAGATCTTATCTATATATATAATTTGTATATTCCATGGCTGTAAACATTTGTACAAATACAGAATTTACTTTAATTTATCATTAATGTATTCAATGTCTCAAACTAACAGGAGAAGTTTGATCTCTACAACCCATATCTATATCCAACCATAGATACAGTGGCGCATCCAGGTTTATGTCCGAAAGGGGGTAATTATCTGAGGTTGCCTGAATTTCTAACCTAGTTATGAGATTTTTGCTCGAAAAACATGCCTTCGGGGCTGCGAGGAGGGGCAGCTCTCTCCCCCTCCCCCGACCACCCATGTATAACTAGAGCTAAAAACGTTTAGAATGGAAATTGGAATGGTACATAAAGAAATTAAAAGTGTTTCAGATAGACCAATATATATTTCCTTTTTTTTGAATATTTTAAGTATGTAAAGTGTAAATAAATATTTCTGCATAAAACAATACTTCTGATGTCTCTAGTACCATATTAAACAGGTCCAATGGTGCGTCGTTGTTTATCAGGAATATCAGGATGCCAGAAGTCAATTATCAGTACCAAACGGAATGTTTCACCATCGTGCCATACTTCATGTTCAAACGAATCATCAAATATTATCACCTCTCCTTCTTTCCATGTTCTAAATTTAGAACCAATAATTAATCCAACATCAGTCAAAATATTAATTTGAAACAAAGAAACTTAAGTATTCAGGGCCTATTAACATGATATATCTAATGCAGATATTACCAATGGCCTCATAAGTTCTAATAATATCTGTAGAGTTTAATATATTAAAATTTTAATGGCTTGTCATTTTTGCTGAATTTATATACAATAGCAAATAAGCACAAAATGACATGGCAAGAGATATTTAAGTCCAAGCCAAAATCAAGGGAAAATCGCCAAGCAAAACAAATAGTGATAAACATTTGATAATTATTAATTGTACTATGAAGTAAAATAATAATGATAATGGATGATTGGATGGCCTGAAGTGTATTGTCAAATGTCTATATCTATTTACAGTAGAATCTTCAATTGCTATCTTTATCGTTTTGACACTGTGACTTTGACTTCATCCAAATAAAACCCCTGAATTATCAATTTTAATCTGAAATGTCTCATCATGTCTACTTAACCCAGGTTTTAATCTGTAAATGTGTTCATGGTTTGAGGCTAAACTGATACTTAGTTCAAGTACTGTGAACACTGATAATGTAATAGCCATATGCAAACATGGTTTTCAAGGGGCATAAGCTAATAAATTAACTCCAGTGAGGCTCGATGGCTGAACCAAAGAGAATCTCACTTCAAAAAGAAGAGGTGTTACAGCCCATGCAAAGAGAAATACCAGAAAATCGTGTCGTGACTTACCTGGTTTCATTGACAACACGTATCCTTGGTCCTTCAGGTACCACCAATCCAACATGAGCTCTCAATCGACAATTGGTAGGTCCACAATGAGGCCAGACATGGACACCAGGATGCATCACAGAAAACTTTATCTAGAAATAAATCAACATTTACCCATGATTAATGAATATGTTGACATACTTTTTCTATTAAAGTGATTCTCCATAAAAAAAAAAAGACTTAGAGTCTGAACCATATTTGTTTCCTTTTTTGGAGAATCCCATAGTCATTAGTATTTTAGTTACATATCTCAGCCAATAATTGTTCTGAAGGAGAACAAAATGGTTAATGTTCACTCAGTTTACTTTTTTTAAAAACTGGAGTACGCTTAAGTTCCTGTTAAAAAAATGATTAAATTAAGCCTCCTAACTAATCATGATTGGTTAACATAGGAGGATCACTTGATATAAGATACATACTTGTCCTCGTTTGTTTGATGTAGCATCAGGAATTTTCTCTAGCAATGCACAAGTCTTGGGAACTTTTCGACAATTAGCTTCTATTTTTCTTCCTACAAAAATAGCATTATATCATGAATAGGTAATTAAAATATATATAAATTTATCAGTTCAATACTAAAATATTTCTACTGTTAAAATAGTGCTAAATTCATTTGTAGAGAGATATAAAAATATTAAAACACCACTTGAATCATGTTGTTACTCAGAGTTTCATGCTATGTGATCTTCAGTCAACTGACCTATTTTCAGCCTGTATCCCTACTTAAGTTGCACAAGTAGAGAATAAGAATAGGGACAAAAATCTGTATTAGTTGAAAAGAATGTAAATCAAACATGAGAAGTTTCTTTCCTGATAAGTACTAATCAAGGCTCATATGATGGAAAATTCATAATAACAAGAATAAGGGAATCTACAATCTCATCATTGATTTTTGTCACTGATGAAAGTTATGAATGACAAGAAGCAAAGCTTTATGAATTAATCAAACTGTTGCCAATAAGTACCTTGTCTATAAAGAGTAAATAGTTTCCAATCACCAGCTTCACGTAAATTCTCATTTTCATCTATAAATGTTCCAAGTTTTGGATCCATATTAGCCAACCCTTCATCTCTAATTGTCTTCCAGTTATCTTTCAGTAGCTAAAAAAAACATTATCATAACATTATCATAACAATAATTATCATAATATTGCAATAACAATTATCATAATATTGCAATAACAATTATTGTATCATTATCATAACACTATCAAGACAACTATCATGACAATTTAAGATAACATTCATAAAACACTAAGATAAAGATAAACCTAATTATCATAACATAACAATAATAACAATATCATAACAATAATCATAAATATTCATTATCATAACAAATTATCATAATAAATATCTGAATATTATGAGGCCAATAATCGTAACATTATGATAACAATAATCATAAAGTAATCATAGCATTAATCATAACATTATGATAACAATAATCATAAAGTAATCATAGCATTAATCATAACATTATGATAACAATAATCATAAAGTAATCATAGCATTAATCATAACATTATGATAACAATAATCATAGCATTAATCATAACATTATGATAACAATAATCATAGCATTAATCGTAACATTATGATAACAATAATCATAGCATTAATCATAACATTATGATAACAATAATCATAGCATTAATCATAACATTATGATAACAATAATCATAGCATTAATCATTTAGATTCCTAAATACATTTCATTATGGTATGAGTTTTGATCATTCTTGAGCATTTGTTGCAGATATTTTCCAGTAAATTACACGTTAACAAACAGGGTTATCACTACAAGAACTTACACTGAATGGTTTACAGAAGTAGTAAGTGAGATACATGTATTACAATGCCCTACCTGTATAGAGGCTTGATAACCAGTTTCTTTTGCTGTCCAGAAAGGTCTAGCTGTCAGATTTGGTACATTATAAAGAGATCGCTGATCTGCAGACGCAAACACTTTTAACTCTGCACCTTCTTCATAAACTTTTCTTGCCTGTAGAACAGAATGGATATTAAAATGACTGGCACAAAGCAGGGGTTTAACGTTAAAACTGAAAAATTAATTCATCATTCTGATGGGAATTAAAAATAAAAAACTTACAATGATAACAACATATTACATGTAAAACATTTGATAAGACGAACAAACATCAGAGCTGTTCTCCTAGACTATTTTTACCTTCTTTGCCAAATTCTGTATAACAAGATGCAGATGCAAGAAAGTCAACAAATTTGATGGACATATTAAATCTTGATACTTTAATTTCTACAATTTATTTTGAATGCAACTATACCTGTTCTGGTTGACCGATTCTATAATAAGCATCACCCAGGGCAAAGAAAAATCTTCCATCCACTGCACCTGGTTCTTTGGAGGCAATTCCCTCTGATAAATATTTTACAGCTTCCTCATAATTAGTTTCATGTTTCAGAATAAAACCCATATGAGATTTAGCAAACCCATTGTCAGGATGTGTTTCTAAAACCTAAAAATATATCAAATCACTCATTAATCTAATAAATGTATTATAATTATATCATTTATTGGGTATGGTTTGTAAGGAACACTTTTTCTATATAGTCAAAGATTATTCTTATACCAAATTACAGTGTCAATTGGAATAGCTCAGTCAGTTGCAATTGCCGTCTACTAGGTGATTGGGGTCTGTGGGTTCGCATCCTTCTCAAGGTGATAAAAATATTAATTCCTTGGCTTGTGCTATAGCTATATGCTTCTCTACTTTTATATCTATTTTCAGACAAGTAGTCCATTCCAACTCAAAGCCATGCTCTAAATAGGTTCTTTTCATAATGGTAGTTCTTGTAGCAGAATGATATACCTGTGTCCATCTTAAAATGCCTACTTTTGTAATTGTCTTTGTATAATTGAAGGTACTAAACCCATAGACAGTAAATTTCTTACTTGTTTGAAATATATTTTAGCTTCTGAATTCTTGGCTGCCACCAGCAGATTAACACCCAGCATGTTTTTCCATGTATGATTAGTAGGGAATAGTCCAACCATATATTGACAAATTTCTACTGCTTTATTTTGCCAACCTAACCAAAATAAATACAGCACTTTTTAAGCATTGAATTATATATAGCTTAAAGTAAAACTGATTAAACCAAGCAGCCTTTTACTACAGACTAGGGTTGGCACTGTAAGTTAATGCAGCTTTTAACACGCAAGTAAGGAGAACTTCTAACATTTACAAAGTACAAACAATTTACCAACCTCTAAATCTCAGAAGTTTAACTAATTTTTCACCAGCAATAAGAACCAATCTTTCTGGTACCTTTTCTTTATGTATCAGTTTATCAAGAGTTGAAATGGAATCTTGTAACAGTGCATTACTTTTTTGTTTCTCAGCAATTTTATCTAAACAATTGGCTAAACCATATAATGCTCTGGGACTGTTTGGATGTTTATCCAATATTTTTTCATACTTCTTTTTAGCTTTTTCATGTTCTCCCTAGAAAAATAAACACACCATTGATGGCAATAACAAAAACTTCAAGGTTCCGAACGCAAAAATTTTGATTGTCAAAAACATTGTAATTTACTCAGAAATTTGTAATAGTTTTGGTGTTCTAAAAGTTAAAACTTTCAGATAGAGACATCATCAAGATATTGGTCCATAGTTTTCATTAATTTGATCATGTAACTTTCCTGGCCACTTAAAAAAATCAGACTACCCTTTTAAATCATTATTAAGTACTGAAGATGTGACCACCATCAACATCAAACGTTAAAAATTACTTTTATCCAGATACATCAGACATAGAATTAAACAATAATTACCTTTAAATATAAATCATCAGCATTATCTATTGTCTCTTTTATTTTAAAATCATCTTGGTTAGTTATATCTTGTTTTTTATAATTATTAACATCTGGAGCAGCTGCGTTGTTTTTAGAGTTTTTTTCGTTGATATTTTGACCATTATTCTGGATATTGATGTGGTCAGAATTTTTATTGACATTTTGTGAATTTTTCTCAACCTGTGTGACAGTTGTCTTGTTTTTATCAATATCCAGTATTGAGCTTTGATAATTAGAATATTCATTTATTATTTGACCTGAAAAAAATATTATTATCAGAAATAATCAATAAATCATTTAAATAAATTATAATACTCTCGTTTTTATCATCAATTGCTTTCCAATACGAATATAGGAAACAAAAAATTAAAATTTTTACTTTTAGTAATTTAAACTGTTAGAAATAAATTTGAATAAATACTGGAAAATCAAAAAATTGTTTTATAGGAAAATTAAAACTCATCCATATCATTTCATTAGGTATATTTTAGTTTCAAGATTCAAAAATCCAAAATATTTGCAAATGAGATAAGGTGATGTAACACAAAACATGATAAACACAAGCAAACTGTTTTGTTTTGATGTATTTTAATATTATTTATTGAAACTTTAAGGGACATCTTTGCCATTCATTTGGCCAATCAGACATTAGGCTCAGAAACATGAATTTCTTCAGCTAAGCTAATCTGTAATAGTGTTTATAATGATTATAATAATATTTACTGTTTAAAAACCATTACCCTGTTCATCAACATTTCATAAAAACTGAATTTGTTTTATAAGGCTTAAGTAAAAACGGGGAATACTAAATGTTAATTAAGCAGTTTGACCTCGTTTAGGTATTTACCTCTATATCATTAATTGAAACCTTTAGAATATATATGATACATGTGTCTCTACAATTAGGCGTTTATTCTATTCATATTTGTACGGAAGTTTTCCAACAGCTTCCAAAATGCATCACAAAATTAAAAACCTTACATAATGTTCTTATATATTTTTTGAGTCTAAAAATAAATGGCTGGATTTTCCAAACTTTCAAATACATTAAAAGACATATTTCTCCATATTTTGGTGTAAAGTTTTCACAATTTGAGCAAAAAATAAATTTTTCAACCTATTAAAAAAGCACAATGTCACTGTCACTGTCAATTGGTATTTGGTGAGAAAAAATAAGTTTTTGAAAAACAAAGTTTCATCATAGCATTGTAACTGTACATTTTTGTAAAATAAAAATATGCAGAGTTCAATGAAGAAATGAAAGAAAAATCAATAAGTGTAAAATAGCTGTTACAAAAACTAACAAAAGCTGCAACTTGATTTCTTTTTATTGATCTTATTGATGACCTGTCAAGTTATTCTAATTGAAAGCTTATTTTTCTACTTTTATTATTAAAATTTTCTTGTTAGAACTGCAAAAAAAGCTCATAAATCACACAATTCTTAAAAAAATACTTGTAGGTCATCCAATTTTGCCTGAATGGAAAAAACCTAAAATAATTTGTATAAATCCAATCAAAAGACAAAATACTATATCCTAAAAGATTTTGATTTGTCTCTTGTTGCTACATAAAGTATGGAAAGTTTTTCAGCTTTCCTAATAAATTGTAAATTTTGACTAACAGGGTTTCATCAGAACATTGACAAATGCTGCCTTCTTCACATTAAAAAGAAAAAAAGTTTTCAGGTTTGACTTAAAAATAGGAAACTCTGAAATGGATCTCAAGGCTAGTGGCAGATTGTTCCATATTTTTGGCGCCGGTAATAATAGTTATTGAAACTGAAATTTCTCTTTGGTACTCACCTAATTTTGTGCGTAGATTTGGATTAGAAAAAACAATAGCCACTGTAACAATTAATATAGATATAAAAATAATCAGAAATGTACAAATAGCACTGGTGGTACTGTTGCTAGCTTGCTTTATTTTACCATTCAATTTTAACTTCTTTATTTTTTTATCCACCATCTTTCCTTCACTGTTATTGCCTTAATTAAAACAAAATTATCTTGTAAATTAATCAATTAGGACGAGAAAACATAATTTATATTTCTGATACAGGATTGCAGTAGATAATTACCAGAAATGTCATCTCGTTGTTCAGGATTCAAACACTGATGTCATTTTTTAAACCCCTTAAAAAAATAGCCACCCCCTGTCAGAGATAATCCAAGTAATCTATTCTTCATCAACCCACAGACAATCTAATTTTATTAGACATCTCAGTAGGCTAGTATTTTGGAGATGAAATGTCCAATATATACAATTCTGTTGGTAGGATAACCTTGGTTACCAAAGTTACTGTTAAGTTCTATTGGTTTTGGATATGCTTAGCATTTTCAAGGAGTGGGTAATCCTGGGGCCTTTGTAAACGCTATAAAATTACGTCTCATTGACATTAATATTCAAGAATAGTCCGAAAAGATTCATCAAAGTAAAAGCCTTAAAGATTATCGTTTGTTTAAATTAAACTTAAATCAAGAATCATATCTGTCAAGCTTAGTGAACACGTTAAAAGAAATATTACTATGTTAAGGTTAAAATTAATCCTGATTTTTGCTAATTTGAATAAAAAGATCCCTGAGCAAACTGTTCTCTTTGTAAGGCAGTAATCAGAGATATTTTTCATGTATATTAAGATTTAAGATCTGAATTTATTCCTGATAAATTCATAAGTTCATATCCATGTTGCAGAAATTTCCATAACCTGTATAAGGTTTTATCAGAGATACTCTCATATAGAAGCACTGGCCTAGGTCACAAGTAGGGACAGAATTACAGCATTGGAATAAATCAATTTGATAGAAAATTACCAACTTCTGGAGAGACCTGTGTAAAACAAACGAAACAACCTTACTCTACTCTATTTCCATTTATTAAAACAAATGTAAATGTCTCTCAGAAAATCATTATTATAAAAATTTTATTGTTCAACTGTTGTAAATATAGATTATTATATTATTTTCTGCTTGATTTCAATTTCTTTATGTTTATATTTATATATCTATTTGTATCTACTGGCCAAATGCCCTTATTTATTACTGTATAAACATTATTATGATTATTATTATACATACAAAAAGATATTAATGCTATTGGTTGGTAATTATTCCACCATTTAAAATAGAATTCATGTTAACACTAATTAACAGGCCGATATGAATTTTTAATTAAAATCAACATCATTAAAATCAATGCACATGAAAATATTTGTTAACACTTACTTTCATCGGAGGACCCTCCTCCTTTTTTGATGCCATTATTGGCATTTCCATTGTGATGAGATTTGGTTCCATTTCGCACAATGTCATTATGTGCAGACACCTTCTTTTTAGAGCCCATTTTGCTCACCCACTAAGAGAAAACTTTATTCAATAAAAACCGTTTACACTAGCTACAGGCTAATCAATACTTTTCTCAACTTCATCGCTTGCAATAGCGACAAAATAGAAAATCAATTTAAGAAATAAACATTGGTGGCGCTAGCAGTTGAGTGGTTCATTTGTCTTAATATTTTATCACAGTGGGCGTTTCATCTCGGTAAAATTATCTCGTTGGCGATTTGTCTCATCGATAACTCTTTTCCAGACCACGTTTAGTTTAATATCCCTTAAAACATTGCCGTCTTTATACAATGCTGCCTTCAAAAACTAATAATATTCTACAGCTAATTAAATTTTAAATAATCGTTTTTACCAATATTACTTAAGTAAAAAATATGTCAAAGTCAAAAATGTAAGGTGGCCGATGGTTAGATAATGAAAGATAAGCGTTCTATTAATTGAAGCCATAGGGTTTAATTTTTGTCAAACTAAGTATAGATCTGACTGTTCCTTAATCGGATTAAATACTAAATATATCAAAAAATACAAATATCTTACATATATTATTCAAGGCAAAACACAAATATATAAGATGTCAGACTACGACATTTCAGCCAATGAAAATCGCTGTTGCCATAGCGATAGCCAATCACAAGTCTCAAATGCTCCACAAGGTAATTAGCCTTGTACATAAAATGTTCCCCTTTTTTATCGACACAAAACACATCATTTGAATGCTGAATTGTCTCCGAAAGGGTATGAATTCTGCTCCAATATAGCAATTGTGTATCTGTATATGTTTTTTCCTTTTATGAGCATTCTCAACCGAACTGGAAATTGTACATCAGATCTACCTCTTTTATTGTAAAGGAACTAGGCAGAATTAGTTGTAGAAAATCGACCCCCATCTCAAACCTTTGGGCCAGAACAGTCGAAGATCAAGAATAATCTGATGCCTGGCAACATAAACCGTATCTAACTCAATATGACTAGATGTAGGCTTACAGGTAGAGTCTAAGATAAGGGTAGGCTACAAGTGTTTGTGGGGCTACTAAGGGCTACTATGGGAGTCCCCCCTCACCCTACTCCTGACAATGTCGGGCTTATCACATAGTTCTAAATGTATAGTGCTGTGAGCTCATCTTCACAATTCCCTATTCGGCTAGCATTCTAATGTCAGATTTCTAATGTCGTCTAGCTTTTTCCATACTCATGCCGTCAAGCCCTATTATGTGCTTTGTTTAGGACCATCTACCAATCTATTCGTCTACAAATGATTAAATACTCCCTAACAGCAACCATGGAGATTATACCAAAACATAAAATATTTAATTCTTTGAATGTTTCACCCATTCAATTGGCTGCTTAAATACACATTAAACTGACAAAATAGGTGAAAACAGTTTTCAGTGGTCGGAATTTTAGTGAAAATGCTAATGTTTTTCTGCAGAACTTTGTGGTCACCGGTACCTTCTGAGTAGGCCAAGGTATCGTCAACTAGATGAAACTCTCATTTTCTGGTTGAAATTTACAGATTTTAATTATTTTCAGCTCTATAAAATGGAATAATTTCAGACCTTGACAAATCATGGAAATAATCTGTAAATGTCGCAGACAAATTTCAACACAATCTTTGAAACCTTAGACAACTTTTTTTTCTCCTTGACTGAATAACCACTATCAGAGATTCCTTTTAACTGTATACAGATAACAAGCGATACACTTTACTTGCAGGATACCAACTACGCGTGCTTCGGTATTGACTGTTTTCTGTTACACCGGTCATTCCTAT